CCCCGCGCTCTGAATCTTCCTGACATGCTCAAACCAATGCCTCAACACCCGCCCTATGTGTTATAGTGATATGATGAATGTAGTGTTTGAAAGGATATTCAAGTAGGGGGGATGTACATAATCTTCTCTAATGTTTCACCATGGCCGGTCACAATAATTACTACATTGACTTACCATTTAATATATGAAACCGGTATAATATATATTTTTGCACACAATACTTTTTCTTCCCTTTTTTTTTTTAAATTGTAAGCTTTAGACATTACAACAGTAAGTAGTAGTAGTAATATTATGTGTTTTCCCATTTCTGACCTTTAATTGTCATCAAAATATGTTGAAAAATCTTAAATATAAGACCGTTGTGTGAACATTGTGAAAGTTTGAATGCTGTCTATGAAATAAAATGATTAGGTGATTAAAACATTGCAAGCACATTCCCCAGACAATTTAGTAAAAATGTGGAAACTATCTGAGTTATGTGGTTAATGGACCAAAAAAAAAGCCCAAAAATAAAGCAGAAACATCCATGGCTGAGGCAATAACCAGCAATCAGACCAAAACCACTGGTACACAAGGGTTTCTAGTACTTTGTGAACATGACTTTGCAGATGTTTTATGATTTTTCAACTTCTTTTGGCTCATGTGTGTGGCAGTGGAAAAATCTTTTTTACAGGTCAGCATTTTAGAGTAAATGTATGCTTTTTAGAGCTGGTTTGGTCATTGCAATTTAGCCTATTGGTGGGTTTCAGAATGATGAAAAAAATGGGTCTGTTGCCATAACAATAACATTTTTTGAATGGAATGGTAAAACCGTCTAGCCAGGCTGGCGCCTATTGCTTCCACTAAATTTCATTTTTCTCCAGTGACTAGGACAGGAATCGAAATACAAGAGAAGGTTTGCAAGAAGAAGAAGCTGTAGACGACGCACTGGCCAGCTGAACCAATCTGAGTTGCAATAGAAGACTGCATACACTATCCTCCTTTGGACTTCCTTTGTCAAAAACAAACTTCACATTTTTTATTGCACCTTTAATTCACAATGACAATGATCATTGACAGACATGTTCACTCTCTGCTTTGTTTCCTGTTGTGCCATCAATTACGTCATGACCAAATGGCAGCGACTGGTTAAATTTAAAAAGTACCCGCCTACCATCGAGCGAACAAATCCTAATGTTGCGAGGTCAGACAGTTTCCACAAACTGAAACCGGCTGATCAATCCGGCTAAAAACTCCCAAAGTGAGATTCAGAAACAGTAAAATTTAGGCTATGAATTACTAATTATGATATTAATTATTAAGATAATTATGGATTTATTGTTCAATATATGAAAGCAGGAGCAATATATTTCGGGGCTAAAATGTAGCAAGTGTGTAGTTTTTGTATTTGGGGTATTTTTGTTTTAATACAGTAAAGCCTGAGTTGTACAAGGTTGAATAAGTAACTTCTATGGCTAATTATTGCATCATTCTGTTATTTATTTGTTGCAGGTCAGTCCTTTAATGATATTGTCTAATTAAAAATGTGTTTACTGGGACTATCCTGCTTTATTGTTATTGTCTCAGTGGCATAAAGTAGTTTCAGTATTATCATTTATCACAGTATTTCTCTCTGTAGCAATATATTGTACTTCAAAATGTATTATTGTGACAGGCCTCGTAAAAAAGTATATAATGTAATAATGTATGCATTTCAATTCATGGTAATAGCTGAATACTACCAGAAACACAACATAAAGGCAAATCAAATCCATAATTACACCAAGATCTATCACCTTCTATTCAATATTACTGCATTTAAAAAACAATTATATTTCAGTTAACTAACAGTGTGCGCCCTCTTCTCCACTGGGCGCATGCTGAGACTGTGACATTAATGTATACTGGCCCCTACGTCCCCCGCTGCTGTGCCTCCGATGTCTGATGTATCCCACACGCTCAGTACAGCCATGGCCCCAGAACAGCTCAGTCCCTCCAGTGCACACAACCATCTCATTAACAGGGGCATCTCCAGCATGTTTACATTTCATTACACTGTCTCACTGTCTCCTCGGGCCTCTCGGGTTACTAAATATTTGAGGTTTTGTGTTGTTTTTGGAAGATAGCCCAGTAATTTGAAACACTTAATTGAGTTGTATGTAAGCAACAAGGAGCAGAAAGACAAAAATTCAATTATTTATGTGCGATGGTCGGCTCATTTGTGTGATTTACAGACAATAAAAGACTTTAAAAGTGCGTTGGGTAACTTTTCTGGCGGGGGGTCCATGAAATGTTTTATTTCCATGGAGATGCTATTGCTTTATTTGGAATGTTTCACAGTATGATATTAAACCTTTCTATCTTCATGGAGACCAAACCAGGACAAGCTATGGGTCAGATCTGTGGAAAGGTGACCCCGTTTGTGGTTAGAATATTTCATTCCAGGTAAGTTTGAGCAATAAACCCATCTTGTAACTGAATAAATGTAAGGTAGAGCTGTTTAATATCGTACTGTGGAACATTCCAGGCAGAAAAACAGCATATACAATGAAACAAGCAAGTGAAGGTCCCCGGCAAAAAAGTTATATAGTGCACCTTGAAACACCTAAATGTGTTAATTCAGAACCCAAATACATGGAAATTGTTTTTTTTTTTGAGTGGCAAGAAGGCCATAATATAAACCTCATTTTTCACTGAACAACTTCAATACAGGTACAAGATGTGTGAATTAATACAGCAACTTTGAAGGTATGAAATAATAGAGCGCTAGATCAAATGACAAAACAAAAAAAGAAATGCGGAGAAATGGTGAAGCCTCTACCAGAAAGGCTGAGCAGTGCACCTTTAAGTACTAGAATACTTTTAAATGAATGCAAAAGTTTAGTATCTTAAAATCTCCATTGGTTTAAAATCAGGCTATATGAAAAGTCTACGTGGAGGGATGATGCAAATCTGATCTTTATAGTGCTTTTCCATATCCATACGACGTGCTTTACATCAAGGTCCTGTTTATTCTTTATGACTCACATTGTATAAAAACGCAGCGTAGGTCGGGGATATATATAAGCAAAGTGCTCTATAGTACGATACTTCGAGAGCCACTGCTATCAGAAATGTACCAGTTGGCATTATTGATTTACCAGCGCAGATTTGAATGAAAACTGTGCTTGGATTGACAGTGAAAATATTCCAAATATCTGATTATAAAAAGAGCCCCAACCAATTGAATTCAAAAGGCAAGCTGCATCATCTGCCTTTACTTCACAATATCTGGTCATGTAAATTAATTTTCTAAATCTTTAAAGGTGCATTGCGTAACTTTTCTGGTGGAGGGTCCTGCTTGTCTCCGTGGAGATGTCATTGCTTTGGCTGAAATGTTCCATGGTATGACATTAGACATATACATCTAGCATTTCTTCATTACAGATGTTTCTAGTGTTCAAAAATACAATCATTACTTCTGTTTATAGAGGCGACTCTCCACAGATCTGAACTGTAATATAGTGTATTGTTGTAACCTGCTTGTCTTCCTCATTAAAGGCAGGTTTAATCTACACTGTGGAACAAGCAAGCAATAACATTTTCATGGAGAGAAGCAGGTGCCAGACCCTCCATTAGAAATGCTGCACAGTGAACCTTTAATAATTTTCCATATTTGTTGACAGTTTTAACGCGGTAATGAATTATGCCAATTTAAACAACCAATTCAGATTCCAGACAGGTTTAAGGTGAGCAAAAGTTGAGATCAATGTCTGAAAGAAGTAATCAAGTGTCTGTCACCAGGCAATGTCATAGACCTGGCTCTGAGTCAAAACCGCTGTTGTCAAAAAAAAAAAAAAAAAAAAAACACCTCAAGGAGCCGAACGCCACTTTGTACAGTGGGTGATAGAGCTGGGGGCAAATTCAGAAATCATAATGAGAAGATTGTGACGGGGACAAAAGAGCCTCAAGGGCGCCGAAATCTTTCCCTAATGCGAAGATTTGATAAGGTTAACAAAAGAGAACGCCTCTTTTTGCCAGATAAGTTAGACTGTCACTATGGCGACTAATAATAGATATATATAATGGAAAGGCGGCCACACGCAAACTCACATTAGCAAGTTCAACTGCATTATTTGAAGAAGAAAAAGGTCTGTCAGCTGCTTGTCTCATTAGATACACTTTATTAATTCTTTTCAGGAAAGTATTTGTCGACTAGGAGATGTTACTGTTTTTCCTAGAATGTTGCACAGTATGGCATTAAATTGTGTAGGTGATACTACCAGGTCAAGTTACTGATTATATCTGTGGAGAAGCTGCCTACTCTCAATTGTGTGGAACATTCTAGGCAAAGCACCTCCATGCGTGCAAAGAGCCGGACCAGAAAAGTTACAAAGTGCACCTTTAACGCGACGTTTTAGGCACAAATCAAATCACTGCCAAAACATAAGGACACTTCTAACTGCATCCTACAAGTTGAAATATTCATCTTGAGAGCGCGTGTGCCACTGCGCGTACTGCTAAGTAAGGGTTTGATGACGATAATGGCGTACCAGAAAAAGATAATCCGATTGTGATCCTTGCCTAATTAGAAATGCATTTAGAGTTGTTTTCTTCTTTGTTGTGCGCATCGCCAGCAAAGCCCTGATCTGCGCGCCGTGTCTCTGCTGTTTTCAGAGAAGCAATAAGCGCACAGGGATGAGCACAGCGCTGCTTTAAAATTCATACGAATGTAAAACCTGATGTTATGAGATAGGATAGGGTCTCTAGCATATTGCCGCTCAGGAATGGATGAGGCTGGGGGCTGCTGCGGACGTTGTGTTTTTTAATACCCCACGGCGAAAATGCATGCAGCAATCATGTAGAGGAAAGCGGTGGAAAATAGTCTTTAATGCTCACATTCAACAGTTCATATACCCCCAAATCTTAGCTATGATCTTGCTCATTTTATAACGCGCTGGTCTCGTGGCCAGAGTTTTCAAAGTCAAACAAAAAACAGTGAAACAAAGGGTCACCAAACATTATCCAAGCGTAGCACTTACAGGCGTATGTCATTGAAAAGCTGTTTCCCATCTTGACCATATCCACCTGCGGCACCAGTTTGGGGATGTCCTGGTGATGGGACAGGGCGAACCGAAAAACCTCATATTCATGCGATTCGGTGGGGAACAATCCTCCTGTTGAGCAGCAAAGAAAGGCACTAGTTACAACGCTGGACACGAGGGTCATTGAAGCGCACACTGCCTACTGTACAACGGGAGGACAACAGGTACAATGAAGTTGGAAAAACAGAGAATTTGACACGTTATGGCTTACCTATATTGATGTTGCTTGGAAAACTTGAGCCTTGACCCAAGCTCATCCCCAGAAAACTGGTGAAGAGGATGGCGAAGCTTCGCAACATATTTCCTTTTGCATTGGCGAAGGGAAAAAGAGTCGAAATCCACGCATAGGTTTTAGTCCTGTACTGTTCCCAGTCGTTTCCTGAAAAGAAATCCTCCTCTTCCCGGTCGCTCCTTTCTCTTTTTGTCCGCCTCAACTCCCAGCACCTCCAGTCAGAGCGGCTTTCACAGCGACATCGATTCGGCAGCGAGACAATTATCGCAATGGCGAGAGGAGGCACCTTCCTCTCGACTCTCTCCTGCTCCTCTCTGCTGATGCTCGCTTGTCCTTGGCTGCTGTTGTATGAAACGGAGCATTAGCCACGCTCAAAAAAAACATGCCCCTCTCCAAATCATCGTGAGATTTTTTACGCCAAATCTTACAGAGCACGCGCGTCACCAGATCAGCACCGCAGCGCACTTGGTGTTGATCGGTGCTTAGTGCTTGTTTTTAAAGACTCGTCTAGACACAGGTGTCACTGTAACAGGGCAGAATAGAGCACAACTCCGCGCGTGGACTGAACGAGCGGTTGGAGAAGCGCTGTGTTTTGCGCATTGGTAGCCTATCGAGAGTGTGGTGGCACGAGCGCATGACTTCACATCCGATGACAATAAGAACGTTCTCACAATTAGTCAGCGATGAACGAGATTTAGCACACAGAGCGCACAACAGTTATGTGGCAGATTTGATCCATTACTCCAGTGTTTGACAATAAATAGGCCTAATGGTTTTAGTGATTAATGATAAAAACATGCCCCCTGAAATTATATTTGATGTATTCAGAATAAATGGAAACAATGAATGCAATTAGCTCAGTTCAACAGAAATAACACCAGATATAGCAAGAATGTATCAAAAATATATGTACTGATTTTTATTTTTATTTATTATTTATTTATTTTTTGTATGGGTATGGGTATGTCCAATGCCTGGTCCATAGACAAGTTGTGCATTGTGGTCAGTGATGGAAGAATCCCTTGAAAATTTAGTTACATAATACTGAATACCTGCTCTGAAATGTATATATATATATATTTCATCCCGATACATGGTCCAATCAGAGTAGTGTACTTTTACAACAAGTAGCATTTAAAATATAGTGTAAAGATGCAACATTGGATTAAAAACAGCTTTATATATGTTTTACGGTGTGCTTTGTATTCATATTTTTTCACTTGTTATTCGCAGTTTGAAGCCTAAATTGTGTTTCTTTTTAGGATCGTGATTGTATTGTGAATACCACCAACTGAAAAATGAACTGTACCTGAATACAGTTACTCAAAATGTGTATTCTGAAAATGTGTTTCAGTACACATATTCAGTTACTTTCCAACACTGATTGTGGTCGGACGCAGTGGGATGTTGTTGTTGTTGTTGTTTTGTTTTTTTCACAAGGAATATTTACCTGACATGTTTTGTATCTTACTTTCTTATTCAATACAAGTCATCAATGAAAAAGTGGGACATTCTCTAAATAAAGGAGGGACCTATAGTGAGGCGTTGTACAAGAAAACCAAAAGGTCACTCCCCATCTACAATATCAATCACTAAAGAGTGGTGTTTTCTGGAAAAAAGCAGTTGCCCATTTAATTTTGCCACTAAACATTTGATTTTAGAGAATAACTTTTCAAACATCTTTGTACAGCTCCAATATATAAACTGCCATGCTGTTTTGCCAGCAAATTTCTAACAACTGTGCCAAGCATTAAAAAGAATAAGCAGAAACATGGCTTGTAACATCTCCCAGCGGATGTTATATTTCAGCACTGAATCTGTTGTTTTGATAGCAGCTAAAACAATGTGGTCATTTGAAAAAGCAGGGGGAAATTGTCATGAAGCACACTCCAGAAAATGGGTTTAATCCAGCCAGAAACCCCCTTTTAAACATGCTTAAATTAGAATAAATTCCTATAATTCCGAATAGGCAAAATGCTTTCCCCATTTCTCTGACTGAGTGCAGGACTGGCAAGTAGCTGATAAGGGGTGGTGATGATTTAAGCCATGGCTGCAGGCAATTATTTCTGAATAAAAGGTACATGGCTCTGAGCTTTTGTACATATTATAAAATGACGCTTTGGTGAGATGTTTGTGTGCGATTGATGGTGGTATGGGCTCAGAGTTATGCCCAAGCTCTTGTTTGGAAAATGGAGCGAAAATCCTGCTTTTGACACAATCAGGCTTATACGGATGAGCCTGTTTATCAGACCAAGGCTTATTAAACTCCAAATCACTTCTCAGGTTTTGTTTCGCTGCAATACTTTCTTCCACAAAAGGAAATTTAGGGAGATTAGGGGATTAGGCTAAATTAGATTTTGTTTTCCAATTGAGCTGATTAAAATACTGGCTGCTGCTACCTCTGTCCAAAGCACTTCACTTGAGCGATAAGAGGGAAAGAAGGTTAAAGGTGCATTGTGTAACTTTTCTGGTGGAGACCTTGCCTGGCAAATCCTGAATGATCTCCCTGTATTTTTATACAGATTGATATCAGTCTGGTCCCCGTTCCCCTCGTAGCTTCTCAAACACGGTTAAATGTGTGATTTGTCTTTTTTGAGTGACACATGTGAAACAAAGGAGCTTACTGGTCACATATCATTCACAAATAAGTAAATTAAGTTCAGTTCTTCGCTCATTAAGTCTGCAAAAATCCGTGATGTTTTTCAGCCGCCTGTGATATCTTTTTTCCTTATTTTTTCCCGATAAGGACCAACAATGCGTGTGCAATTTATGCCTAAATGGCTAATCCACCTGTCAATCATGATCATCTGAAAACTGGGAGATTTAATGGGTGACCAGATTCATATTTTTGTAAAGTTTTTAAGAAGTGTGTATTCTGGATCCTAGGCAAGTGCTTGTTTGCTTTGAAGTTTAGTTTAAGAAACTCCTGTAATTTATGAAGAAGCTTAATGTCATACTACGAAACAGGCAAAACAATAACAGCTCTATGGAGACAAGCAGATGGTGGACAGTCCCCCAGAAATGTTACATAGTGCACTTTTAAAGGGACCATATTATGCTATTTTCTGAACTATGTTACAGTGTTGTTTCCTCATAGTTTCATTCACACAAATCCTGCATATTGAGGGTTTAGAGCTCTTCTCTCAAACTGTAAACACTCTGTTCCATCATGTGATCTCATGTGGTACTTCAGTGTGTTTTTAAACTCAGTACTCTTTCACTAGAATCATTTGGATGATTTCAGCCCTGGATTTGTCAGTCTGTAATGAACAAAAGGTAAAACGTAGCTATTCACTTGAAAATTAACATTACAAAACATCACAAGGCGGAACAAAGTATTTTGACTTTTGGAGACGTAACCAGACTAATAATAAAGTTTATGTCTGAATGAAACAAAAAACAATTCCAAGTATGTTTTTGATGAGAGAATAGCATTATAACATGGCTAAAAGCTCATAAGAGTACATTTTATTTAGTATAGGAACTTTAAGAACACCAGTACAAGAGATATACTATGTCCATTTCATTATCTAGTGAAGCGAGTTTGGGCTATTTATCCCACCAATAAAAACTGAAAACATAATGCATATTTTCAGTGTTTATTTGTACAATGTGTTTTTGCTTTGTGCTTTGTGCCAGTGCAGCGTGCATGTAATGAGCATCATGCCACATCCTGATTAATGCAAATAGATCTGAGAATAGAACAGAACAATGGATAACTATTCCAGGGGCACAAGAAGAGAAGATGCTTGATGTTCTGCATTTAAAGTATTCACATGTTTTCACTGCCCCTACAGAATTCCCATTGATCATTATGGAAAGAAATATGTTAAAGGTATTGTTGTTGTCACTTGTTGTCATAAGGTTGTCTGTCTTCATGGAGATGAATGAATGAAACACTGTTAAATCAGAATCTACATGTTTAATTATACAAAGAATTTCAGAGTGATGTTGGAATACAACAGTATAATAAAAATCAAACACTAGGGTTAACTTGCATTCAGCTAGTTAACTTTACTCACAGCTACAAATTTGTTGATCTTAATGACTGTGGTCAAGTAACAGTTACTTTCATGGTGAAAAAAGCACATTACTTGTCAGTTAGACTAAGTCATCTTAAATGACGCAAGTAACTTCAACAGTGACGTATTATTGCCAAGATTCCAGCTCCATTTCCCAGTCTTTTCCTGTCCTCTTTTTGCTACCTTCCTGTTTTTCCTACAGCTGCCACTCATTCCCTGATCATCCCAGGATCGTCTTTATATCCTCCCTCTCTTCATTCAGTCTTTGCTCGATTTTACCTGTACACCTGTTTTGTTTCTTCCAGCATTTTTTGAGCCATAAGTGTGGAGGTTGAGTTGACATGGAATGACTGAGCTATATTACTGTATTGTTACACATTACAATGTGTTTGAACTTAAGCTGAACAAAAGCTTTTGCTTGTTTTTTCAAACACTAATAAATATTCAAATCCTTCCGTACCTGCATTATTGTAGAATAGAACCTTACTCTAACTTGTGCATATAAGTAACATTTGCTCACTTCAAGGCAATCAGTTTGCATGGTTTTATCAAGTAAGATGAAATTAATCTTCAAGTAAAGGTTACTTGCTAAATTTAAGGCAATTGGTTTATTAAGTTTTTTCAAGTAAGGTTAACTTACTCTGAAAGTAAAGGTTCCTACATATTTCAGATTTTAGGAACTGACTGATTAGTTGGCACAGTTTCATAACATGAGTTCTATGAATGAAAACTAAAGTAAACTTAACTTGTGCCTAGTTAGATGAAAAAGAAATTTATTTGTACACTACACTGAGGAATTACTTGTAGGCTCAGCTTTAGATTCACAGTCCACTTTAGTCAGATTTAGTAAAGTTAACTTATTAGATTTAAAGAGTAGCAATTAGCACTTCAAAACAAAATATTATATCTTTTGAATAGTAAAATGTCCTCAAAATGCTGTTCATAAACAAGAATTTGAAACCTAACAGGAAGTGTTTATGGGGGCCGCTTCAGCCTCCATCGACTCTTATTCTAATTGACTTTATAATGAAAAATTGTCACCCCTTTCTCTGTAACTGCTGCAATGAACCTTGTCGTTTTGGTTTTACA